CAACATGTTTATTTGATGGGCATTTAAGCACCTATTTGCTAACACCTTAGTCACATCACCTTTTTAAAGTGTCAATATGTCAAGGTTTTCTACACCTTTTTTCAGCTTCCCCCAAGCTATCATGTTTAATCACATTATTAGGTTTATCTGTGACATTAAAATATAGCATAACAGAAGCACAACAATAGAAGAACAATAAAGTCAGTGAAATTACTCATTAATGAATGTTACATAGCAACTAGTTTAACATTAGTCAACATTAGAGCAAATGTGTTTTATTGCATTATGAATTCAGCTGTATATTTGTAAGAGGAGAGAGGTGCTATTTTTTCTTCTCAACAGATGCACAATCTTGATGTAATGTCTCAGTTCAATCAAATTACACAAGCATTTGCCACCTAAGATTAGCAGTATCGAGCAGACATTTGGTTTTATGTGCTGGTTTTGAGATACAGTATCTTTATCTGAAACTTGTGCAAGGACCAGTGTTGTCAGATAAGCTTATTGTTAAGGTCAGCGAAACCAGTCACCACCCCAGTACATCCATTTTCTATACCACTTATTCCCAAACAGGGTCACGGGGGGCTGGAGCCAATCCCAGCCAGCTGCGGGCGAGAGGTGGGGTACACCCTGGACAGGTCGCCAGTCCATTGCAGGGCTCACCCCAGTACAATGAAAGACAATTAAATTTTGTATGTACTCCTCAAATACATTTTAAAAGTCAAAAAGGATTTTTTAAAACTAAATAAATCTTTTGTCCTTTATCCAAAGTAACTAGGACATTAAAGACATAAATGAGATCAAAACGAATAAGCTTAGAATATACTTGAATGGCAGTACAGTTTGCTTTAAAATTATTGATCTAGAATTAGTCTAGTCTTCACTATTTTCCTATGTCAATGTAATTAAGCTGTGCAAATACCATACAGCTATTTTGTTATTAGAATATCCATCCATCCATCCATTTCCTGTACTGCCTATTCCCAAACGGGGTCACGGGGGGCTGGAACCAATCCCAGCCAGCTGCGGGCGAGAGGCGGGGTACACCCTGGACAGGTCACCAGTCCATCGCAGGGCTGTTATTAGAATATCTTAAATACTATTCTAAAGTGTATTACAGTGTACTTTTTTGTGTTTTTATTCAAATATAGTTCAAATATTTGTTGAGGCCTATATCAAGGATGAAACCTATAACAAGCCTCTTAACCATTTTAACCACAATGCCCCTAAATGACACCACAGCTTTTACATCCAGAAAAATATACTCTACTTTGGCCATCTGCCTGTGATTGGATATGATGTTTTCCCAATCAGTGGAGAGACAGAAATCACATCTCTGTGGCTGGGCAGACCTTAAAGAGAGAAAGAGTGGGCTAGAGCAGTTTTTTTGTTTGTTTGTTTTCCTCTGCTTGCAGCAGTGGGTGCTTCTATGACATGATGGATGGTAGATAGGTTCAGATGGCTTACACCCCCTCTCAGTCACAGATCCCAGCCATTGCAATGTAGGACACCTCGTCCTAGCTCCTCCTCCAGTCTGCCACCCTGGCTAATAGAAGTCCCTCAGCAATGCAGCAGGTAATGCATTTGCTGGATGTCCTCTGAACACTGCCACAATTAAAGAGATTTTCTAAATCGACTTCTCATTATAAGCAATGAAATCCTATATAAACACATCGTTTGCCAAAGATAACAGCTTCCATCATTTTACACAAGAAGTTTTTTTTTAAAATATATTTTCCTCGATGTAGGTGGGCCTGAGTTAGGAAAAGGTCACATCATGTACATCTGTGCACCAGTCAGGATATAACACTTTTCTGCCAATCAAATCTGCTAAAATCACACACACATAGTCCTGATAAGGCAGAGCAGTTTTTGACTGTTAATCTCTTATTAATAAAGAATTACATTCATTGTGTCTTGGATTGTTGCTTATATTTAGTAATAAATATTTAAGGTAACTAACAAAAGTATATGATAGGACGTCAAGGATTTAGGGACTTTACTTCCTAATGCACTTAAATTAAAAAACATTTTCAAGCACTTTTATGTGGAATTTCTAAATTTGCATTGCTTCTTTTCTTCTTTTTACTAGTGTAAAGTAACATAACAGCTTACTTTTTACTATTATAAATGTCAGATGTTCTCTTGTAGCCCTGCTTGCCTGCCTGATGTTTATAAAAGCTTTTAAAAGTGATTGTTTCTTTCCAACCTTGTAGTTTTTACAAGTACTAGACAACAGTAAAATTCTAAAGAAAATAGAATATTATTTTGTTTGTAGAGAGGGATTGTTTGCAGCATGTATGCTGGCATAGGCTGCATTGGGGTAGCAATATACACATTACATCTCCAGATAAACTGTTGCTGCTGTTTGTACTATCTAGTAAGATACTAAACTGCATTTGTTCTGGTACTTAATGAGTGCAATGACAAGAGCACTCAGAGGGTGTGTGCACCTCCGCCAAGGCACAGTATTCACTCACGCAAATGGGTCGCTTGTGAAAAATGAGATCCATAAGAACACAAAATGTGTCCTAAAAATCCTTGATCGTGATCAGATCTGGGTATGATCATCCTTTAGGGTATGATAGGCAGTTATACTGTGCATCTTACCTAAACATTTCAGAGTTCTATTTTCATTATAGGCCCGTTTATTGCAGAAAATGTGATAAATGCGGTTTTCAATGTTAAATTTAAATGGCCGTCAGATCCAGGATCCTGAGCAGATCCAGATGAAATTTGGTCTGGTGACAGACATTGCAACTCTACATATGTGTGTCACATTTCAAATGATTTTGATAATTTTTGACGGAGATATGATTTTTTTAATTTGGCCCCATATTAAAGATGGTATTTTTGTTATGTTCATTATTTTTGTGACCTTGACTTTTTTCATCCAAAATCTAATCACTTTTAAGGTTTGTCCCCACCAATGTCTGTACTAAGTATGCTGATGATCAATCCAGCTGTTTGTCCATAATCCTGATGACCAACACACACACAAACACGGAACCAAAACCATAACCTCCTTGGCGGAGGTAATAAAGAATCTAATCTCTTGTTAGATGCTCAGGTAGTAGGAACACTAGTATGTTTATGCACTTGAAATGTGTTTAACAGAAAGGCAAAACTCAGTAAAGCAGTATGGGACTGTGTGCTTAGCTGACTGTCACTGAATGTGTAAGAAATATAGTGCAGTGCTGGTTGCATTGCATGCTGGGAGAGTGGAACTGAGGACAGTGGTGGTGAAGGCTCTTAGGCTATGTCAGTATCCATAAGCATTGCTCTGATCTGCACTCCTGTACCTGCATATGCTTGTGCTTTATTGTATGTACACTAAAGTCTTAATAAACTTCTTTATCAAACGTCGTGGCAGACTGCTGTGAAAGACTGGCCTGCTTACATCACTCTAAAGTCACAAGAGATTTGCATTAAAAAAAAAGCTGGAGGGTGTAAACACAGTTATGGGGGGCTTGTATTTTTTATGAGTGGAGATGTGGAGCAGTCCTTTATTCTCAGTCAGTGTGACTCCAGACTGCTGTTTTCTATAGATGGTTGCTGTCTCCTTGTGCCAAACTTTGTTTATACCTTCAGATGACACTGACATGGCCGGAGTCGAGAAGCTGACTGTGTGCTCTCTTCTTTCTGAGCCTATACTGACAACCCTACCAAACTGCTGTCAAAGTGTGTAGATTTGATCTGTACAGTATATTTACACAGTTCATTATATACGAATTATTAAGCAGCATACAAGTATGACCATGATGTTGCATCCACCAGCAGTGTCACTGAAGAAGGCAATCAGTGTACTGTTTGGTGGAGGCTTTTACCACTGACAGTGGCTGACATTGCCATAAGTGAGTGGACTATTATTAGCACAGGTCACCCCAGTGGATCCTGGCCCCTTGGCCTGCCAGAGCTTTGCTCTGTGCATTGAACTTCAAAGGACCACAAGAATAAGGTTAAAAAATTCAGTTGCTGCTTTAAAAATCAGTTTGAAATCCCCAGTGAAAACCAGGCCAATGTGGATGTGACAGTGTAGAGGCAGTGGTAACGTCTTCTGCTCCATGTGCAATGTTTTCCAAAGCTGCAGCAGGGGTTGAAAAGCAGCCATGAGCCACCTCTGAGCCGGATGCCTCATCCTCGGCATTTACCGTCTGTCTCTTACCCTTTCCAGTGGCGAAAAACTGCAAGACCTTTCCTTTGACATTTGTTATCCTGGTGCTATCGTATGCTATCTAATTGGTGGGCCAGCCTCTGGCAGAAGAGGAGGTGATATACAGCACTTTAGTGAAGACATGATCTTCTACCCCTGCCTGCTTTTATCTGTTCAGATGTATGTGTATGATATGTGTATCTTTAATAGCGATAATAACCGATTACAACGTTTGTTGGTGTCACAATTGTACACATTTGTCTTATTCATTTCTGTTTGGAGCCTGCTGAAAATACATGAATTGTTGTAGAAAACATTCAACTTTATTTCTCCACCAGATTTCAGTGTGCTCATTATGGGGAATATACTCGGCCTATGAAAAAGGTTGTATAATTTCTTCTGTGGCTTTCCAAATTGACCCTGGTGATGTCATAGTGACGACATCAGGATCATCTAATATTGAGCTTCATGATTATAAATGTAACTGAAAAGCCTGTACACCTATTACCATCAGGGGTATGGAGACTGGAAGATGCAGGCGTTTACGAGGCAGGTCTAACACAAGATGCTGTTGAGTTGTATTATGAGAAATGCAGTGGTGGGCTGTCAGGGCCAGCAAGGCCTTCTCTGCTATCAGAAGCACTGACCTACATTTACAACCTAAATTCTAATATTTGTTCCATGAAATTGTATTAATTTATTCCCAGCAGTCTATTCTCTTCATTTCGTCGCGTTTCTCTTGGCTGCACTGCTTCCAGTGAATATATGTGGATGTTAGATTTTTTGTCCAATCAGATTTCAGCCTCTATGTGCTGCTATGTCAGTCTAATCTGCCCAGGGCCTTCAGAATCAGTAGTGCTGGCCGATGTAACTTAAACTATATTAGCAAGCAACTTGGAATGTTATTGAAGCTAACAAACTCCTCTGATACACGCCGCTCGCTCTGTTTTCCTATTCTTAAAAGATCTCTTCGGCTGTAAGAGTCAATTGCTCCGCAAAATGTCGTCAGGGCAAAAAACACATATATAAGTAACAAAACAGAACACCGACAGGGAGAGCACTGAGCCGCTGCATCTGCGTGCGCCGCTATCTTCCAAAGACTCCGGTAAAAACAGAGGAGGGGGATTATGTGTCTACGTGAACAACAGCTGGTGTACTAACACTAAAACTGTTGATAGCCACTGCTCACCTAATCTAGAATATGTGACTGTTAAATGTAGACCATTCTATCTGCCTAGGGAATTCAGGGTTGTGATGGTTACGGCTGTTTATATTCCACCAAAGGCTAATGCTAGCTTGGCCCTTGAATCCCTGTATGACACCATTAGCAAGCAACAAAGCAAATATCCAGATGCAGTGCATATTGTAGCAGGGGACTTTAACCATGTAGATTTCAAGGTAGCACTGCCCAGATTTCACCAGCACATCAAGTGTGCCACTAGGGCAGCAAACACACTGGATAAATGCTACACTAACATCAAACATGGCTACAGAGCTAAACAACTACCACACCTGGGCCAGTCTGACCATATGTCCCTCCTTATGCTGCCAGCATATACTCCAGTCAGGAGAAGCATTCATGCATCAACAAAAACTGTTAGAATGTGCCCTGAAGGGGCTTCTCAACAGCTTCAAGACTGTTTTGAGAATACCAACTGGGATGTTTTTGAACACCAGGACCTGGAAGAGCAAACTTCAGCTGTCTTGGGTTACATCACACATTGTGTGGACACAGTCACAAATGAGAAGGACATACGAGTCTACCCCAACCAGAAGCCCTGGATAACAAGAGAGGTACGAAGCTTGCTAAGGGAGAGAAATACTGCCTTCAGGTCAGGAGACAAAGCACTATACAGCACTGCTAGAGCCAACTTAAAGAGGGGCATCAGAGGGGCTAAGATGGTTTACAAAAGGAAAATTGAGGGCAACTTCAACAGCAATAACATAAGGCAGGTATGGCGGGGAGTACAGCAGATCACTAACTATAAATCTGGAAGCACCATTGCGCATTATGGAGATGCTTCACTGGCAGGAGAGCTGAATCACTTCTTTGCCCGTTTTGAAGTGGATTCATCAGAGACATTACATCATATTACATCCACCATCCCCTGCAGCCATAGCCTCATAGTAAAGGAACATGAGGTGAGACACATGCTGAGGACGATTAACCCAAGTAAAGCTACGGGACCAGACGGCGTATCAGGTCGAGTGCTGAGGGACTATGCAGACCAGCTGGCTAAAATCTTCACCCTGATCTTCAACCGGTCTCTGTCTCAGACTACTGTACCTCCCTGCCTGAAATCCGTCATCAGGAAGTGCTTTGAGAAATGGGTGAGAAAACACATTCTCTCCTGCTTACTACCAACATTGGACACCCATCAGTTCGCCTATAGAGCAAATAGGTCTACGGAGGATGCTCTGGCCATTGCTCTGCATACTGCTCTGACTCACCTGGAGCAGCAGGGTAGCTATGCAAGACTACTCTTCGTGGATTTTAGCTCTGCTTTCAACTCCATGCTTCCCCATAGATTGGTGGCCAAACTAGTAGACCTTGGCCTACCCCACTCTACATGCCTCTGGGTTAAGGATTTCCTCTCAGACCGAACCCAGAAAGTCAGAGTAGGCCCACATACCTCCTCAGCTCTTAAC